TGGGTAGCCTAGTGGTTAAAGCGTTCACTCGTCACGCCCAAGACCCAGGTTTGATTCCCAACATGGGTACAATGTGTGAAGCCCATTTCTGGTGTCCCCCTCCGTGATATTGCTGGAATATTGCTAAAAGCGAGTAAATCCATACTCACTCAATCATCTACAGTAAACTACTGTTTAACAAACTCAAAGGTGCCACTAATTTTAGTTTGTTATAACCGTAGGTCGTTATAAGCATAAATACAGCATCTATACAGCAAATGGCCAGGACAAAAAAATAAGTTTGTCATATCCGTCAGTTCGTTATAGGCGTGTGTTCGTTTAGCGTGTAGTTTACTGTATGTCCCTACTTAGGTAGGCTGGGGCTGGGACCATACAGTAATAGTGCGAACCGATACATATCACGATACTTGCCTATGCTGTTCTCTGTGGTGTGTAAGCCATCTTCTTCAAAGACAGGATGGCCAAAACCTGGCTCACTGACGAGTTACAGTTGGCAGTGTCAAGTAACGTGCAATGGAGAAAAATATTTACGTTTTCACCACTAATTAGTGTTTTGTGTAGCAGTTATATAGCAAATCGATATGAATGGATATTTTTTACTTCGTGTGCGACTGTGATCGATAGTTGTGTTGGGATGTAAAACCAATTGATCAACCGATTCATTGGTGTATCATCCCTCTATTACGGGTGGCCCTGTCGTCTAAGGCTGCATTTTAGGTGTGAAGAGTTGCATCTTTTAGGTACGCCAGAAAAGTAAAAAACAATATTGGGTTTTTAAAAAACCAAAAAAACCCGTAGTGTCCAAAGGGTCCAGTGATCTTAAAGAACACCCATTACTGTAGTTGATCTGTCATGTCATGCCAGTATTGTTTCATACTACTCTGGGGGGCACGGGTGGCCCAGTCGTCTAAGGTGCTGCGATTCGCTGTGCAGAGTTGCGTCCCTTGGGCACGCCAGAAACCTATGATTGTGGGTTCGAATCCCGGTTCTCCCCAATTATGTTTCTAGGTTTGTCAGCACCATACCCGTGCTCGCTGGTTTCACCGAAGTGGTAAACGTCTGAGACCTGCATCACTTCAGCCTTTCCTCCTACATTAAGCTGACACGCCGTGATGTAACTGTAATACTGTTAAAAGCGGTGTTTAACCCAACTCACTCACTCACTCACTCACTCATTATACTACTCTGTAATTTACAGATGATGTGTGCATTGGTTTAAATTGTTTGATAAGCATTGTGGATGACACCTACTATATATATTCTGTACCATGTCCCTCATTCAGTCTTCCTTGACAACGGTATAAGGATCTATACCGAAATGTCGCTTTTCACAGAAGTTGTTATCCATAAAATTGTGTCTACCTTGTGCATTGGTTGTTTTTAATTTTGGACCTAATCATGGGACATTGTGGAGGCCTAGCTGTTAAGGTGTTTGCTCATCACATGGAACACTCTGTTCCATTCCACCTGGGGGCATCGGTGGCCAGTTATCCGAGGGTTCAAATCCCAGAGTCACCTGATTATGTTTGTAGGATGGCCAGGACCTCACCCATTATTGTGGGTTGCAGTGTCAAAGACTTTAGGCACCTGCATCACCAGGAGTTGTGGATCACAAGTCTTTAGCATTATGATCATTATGTCAGCATGCGCTCACTCTGTAAAGATGGGAAAAGCAGTGATGAATTTATTTAATCGTTGACCCGTGAAGATTCCGGGGTAGAGTAGGTGTTCAGCAACCCATACTTGCCGTAAAAGGCGACTATGCTTGTCGTAAAAGGCGACTAACAGGATCGGGTGGTCAGGCTCGCTGACTTGGTTGATACATGTCATCGATCCCAAATGCGTGGATCGATGCTCATGACATTAATCCCTGGATTGTCTGGTCCAGACTCTATTATTTACAGACCGCCGTCATATATATAGAATACTAAACGAGCTCCCGTGTAATACCAATTTTATGAAACGAGTGAATAGTTCTGGTATCTGACGAGCGAAAGCGAGTCAGATACCACAACTATTCACGAGTTTCATAAAATTGGTTTTACACGAGAGCGAGTTTAGTATTTTATTTATTACTTGTCATTTATAATGTTTTTAGAATTATACTGTTGAGTGTAAATAGGCTGACACCTACACGATCCATGGCATAATCCTATTGAGTTTAACACAATAATACTTCAAACACGTCAAAAGTTGAAACGTATGAATTTAATATCATACAATGGTCCACCTTAAGAATTCAGGCGTTCGTCCGACAAAATTATCGTAGTGCTAAGGCTATCACAACTCACATAATTTAACTTAGACTAACGACTGTCGTTGCGCTAGAGTACGATCGCCTTGTGGAACGGGGCCTTGCACCTCAAAGTTTACAATCACGTCACAATACCCGATGACGTAATTTGTTGAATTTTGTTGCAAGTTCCATCGGCGAAACAATGCCATGTGACGTCAGCCTAGCAACAAGGTTGCTGGGGTCATCGAGTGTGCATAAGCTCCTCCCAGTGATCTATCATCTCCACACACAATGTCGTTGAATACGCCGAGGGATGTTGAGAGCTTTCAATATTTGTTCGTGAAACGTGTTCCGAGAGTACATAAGCACGCGTTTTGGTATTACACAATGTGTAATAAAGCTGTATGTTTATTAAACGGGTGATCTCTTCACGGGCAAGTAATAAAGCTGGAATATTGCTGAGTGCGGCATTAAACAACAAACTTAACAAACAAACAAACAAATTTAATCGTCACTTCATCATGTGATATTATCTGAAGACAGGCAGTGGCCTGACAACTTGTTAGTCTCCATGCAGACTAATTTGGAAAATGTCTGCGATGTCTTGAGTATAAAAGTATTCATGAACCGTAAGTAAGCCAGAGTGTAGGAGGCAAAAGACCGAAGACGCAAATGTTAGAAGTGACTGAGTTGATATACAAAGAAGCCATTCAAAGGAAAAGCTATAGGATCCTAAATCATTTAAGACCTTAATTAACATAAAAGTTGTTAGCTATCACACCATAAAGTGATGCGACACAAGCTAAATGTGTAATGTCATTCTGAACAAACCTTTTCTAAGGAGAAGATCTTGAAGATTAGGAAGAGATTTCCTGTAAAAATTATATGAACAGGCTAAGTACCCAAAAGATCTCCCATAGTAATGGAGTGAGTAGTGTTCTCTAGCATCACTCGACAGCCGTATAGGGTGTTGTCTAGATAGGGCTTGTCACCCAGCAGCTGCAATCCGAGCCCAGGGGGGTGGGGGGTGGGGGAATTATTTACAGGTGAATACATTTTTACAAGAATGGCTCATTAATCCGTAAAAATTGCTGGATTTATGTGTCACTCACCTGTCCATTGGTAGTTGTGGGTGTGAAATTTTGGAGAGATGAAGAAATAAGAAGAGGTAAATTTCATTCAGGATCTGGGCCATTTGGCAAGTGGGTTGAAAATGGCTCTGATTTGTTGATGCTTTGGCCTGAGTTATTGAATGAGGAAGCAAGGGATATTGAATGGTTATGCTGTTTGAAAATAGGGAAGAAAGTCAAAGGGTCCTTTTTTGACACTAATGTTAAAAGATAAAGGTTTGGGGGGTCCCTAGATCAAGTGATATAGAAGGGTTAAGGGTTTGCTGTATTATTGATATATATCGTTAAAATGAGGTTTTTTCTTTCCACAATACGTATCACAATATCATTTTTCATGCTTTCAATTTGTTTCATGTGTTTAATGTTATAACCTTTGAAACTTGAGACACTGTCTGTGTGTAATTTGGGTAGAGAGAGAGAGAGTTTACCACCCTGTGTAAATTGAGACATTGTCGCTGTGTAATTTGGGTAGAGAGAGAGAGAAAGAGAAAGAGAGAGAGAGAGAGTTTACCACCCTGTGTAAATTGAGACATTTTCGCTGTTTAGTTATTGACTTTTAGTTAGATATACATACAGTCAGAGTGGTGCTCGATTAAGTTGATCATATTGCAGGGACGTCTATCTTGACTGGTCCTCGTCCCCCTTTAGAATTACCATTTCCCGGTTGTGTTACCATTGCCTAGATGCAGTCATATTTGCGAGTTGATTCCCCACTCACTTGGTGATGATGCAGTGACCATTAAATCTTGTTATTGCAGAGGACAAAAATGTTGACAAAAAATGCCTTTTCATGTCATGGATATTAAACGAACGCATTGATCCATTCTGTAAATCTATGTCAATATGAAGTAGTGTTTAGGTTATTCCCTTTAGGAAATCTAATTTTGCTCACATCAGCAGTCTAATTTGCTCAAGCATCAGAAGTCTTGCACAGAACCCAGTCGAGCTGTCTGATTTGTGGTGCCATTAAACAAGTCAAGCTTACTTGGATGTATCACAGAGATCAAAGGGTTTTTAAAAGAAATTGAAGTGAAAAGAAATGAAGTATCATTGAGGCTTGGTGACTTTGTTGATTGTGTGACATCATATCACCAATGGTGTATGGCGTTGTTCATAATATCAATCACTGGTTTGTCTGGTCCAGACATGTTTATACACAGGCGACTAAGATTAATAGGGTGGTCAGACTCCATGACTTAGTTTATGGTGTGCCATCATACCCCAGTGGTGTTGAACTTGTTCTGAACTTTTTTGAACAGTTTCTAACCACTTGATTTTAGCTTATTTAAAAGAAATGAAACTTTATGATAAAATATAGATTTTTACCTGAACAGTCAGTTTTCTACCTTTGAATGTGATACATGACTGAGATTTTAGTGATTTTCAACATCACTTTTATTGTATTGGTTAATATATCGTTACACTAAAGAGATTTCTCACTGCGAATAGCTGCAAAATTGATGTGTCGTTAAGCAACACTCACTCACTCACTCACTCACTCACTCACTCTAGAACTTTGTTCATAATATCAACCACTGGTTTGTCTGGTCCAGATTTGTTTTTGTCCAGCCAGTGTGATGAACCAGCATTCATTCACTCACTCACTCTGTCTGATGTTGTTTCTTCTGTTACAGAGTGTGTATATGGCACATGCGTTAAAACGGATATCCTACGCAACTTGTGACCCGGACTACTGCCAGTTTTCTTTCCTTGCCCGAGAACCAAAAGGACAGATCAACATACAATACTGCCATGCATTCACCACCACCAACTCCGAAGAGGTCAGTCTTTTCGTTATTTTCAGATTTTATATTCATTTTTTTCACAGCAAGGAATTTCCGCTGATCCTCTGAAACCTAATGTCCCCATAAATCAGATCCACCTCGAACATACAATTTCAAATCAAGATGAGTTCCTAACGCCCACTGGCACCCTGATGGGAAGTGAATGAGACATGTTATTTTGCAGTGAAAGACTTTCTGAGTTAAAGGGGCATGGCACAGTGGTAAACTTGCTGGCTCCTCACCTTGTTGTCATCCTCCTGGAATATCCAGTGCCCAGGGCGACATTTGCTAATACATTGGCTAGTGAACAATCCCAATTAGCACCCCTTCCGATTGATCAATGTACACAAGACTTATTTATTCGTGTATAATACGCACTCGTGTGTTATATACACCCTTAATTACATGGGCAGTTAAATTCTGGAAAAATATATCTGTCATACATCAGGGGTAGAAACTAACAGTTTCAGACCACTAGTCCTTATAATGATAACATATAGCAAAAAATGGCAAATTTCTACTAGTCCTTATGATACCTTTACTATTGGGCAGTTTGGCAAGGACTACAGGACTACTGCCAATTTTTAACGCTGTACATAAACATTTCAGGCTGTCAGCATAAACTACGTAATTTATCTTTCAACTCTGGTTTTTTTCACCAAAATAATATTCTAATTAGAGCCCCCTATTTCTAATTTTGAGAGCGCCCTGGGTGCTTATTACGTCGAATACGGTAGTCACTTTCCTCCTGGCTGTATACTTGGAATTGAGTCCAATACTGTTCCAAGTGGTGTACAACTTGTTACAGCTGATTGTGGACATGGAGTCCCAGTGGTCTGAGGTGCCACACCTCTCTGTTCATTTCTGCTTCCTATGATGATAAGGTCTGCTTGCCATGTGTTCTTATGCCAGGTTTACACAGAACCATGGATGTTGGCTTTCAGCCAAGTATGATGTTACTGAAATATTATTCCTCACTCACTCACTCACTCACTCACTCACTCACTCACTCACTCACTCACTCACTCATTTGTGATGGAATGTAGCCTCGTCCCTGTACATTTGCAAAGTATGGTGTAAAACCCCACTCACTCACTCACTCACTTACTCTGGCTCCAATTATCCAGAACATGAGTTTTACATAGCATCAAAAAGTTGGTCTTATGAAAGCCAAAGTCTTCAAATTTCTTTTAACTTACTGAGTTAAAATGATGAAATCATCTGGAAAGATGGCATGGCTAAGTGTGGATTCAAAACCTTTTGCCAGAGACTCTCTATCCATGATCAGACCGCCTCTGTGGTCTAGTGGTAGAGCGTCCGCCCGGAGAGCGGAAGGTCCGGGGTTCGATCCCCAGCCGCGTCATACCAAAAGACGTTAAAAGATGGTACTTGTTGTTACCCTGTCTGGCGCTGAGCATTAAGGGGCTTAAACAAGGACTGGTCGGCTCGGAGTCAGTATATGTTAAACTGCGGCATGGTATCTCAGTGAGCTAGCGCTGTAAATCAGCATCAGTCCGGACTAGTACAAGCAGCCACACAAACACATACACGTGCATGCACGTCGCTATATAAGTGCAATAATCTTGAACGCGACGTTAAACCCCATTTCACCTCACCTCACCTATCCGTGATCACTTAGTTCCTTAATTCCACAAATAACAGACTGACCAGTATCAAAGGTTCAGAAGTTGCTCAAAAACATTAAACCACAGCCTCCCACCCATATTGTCCCCACACGACCTCATTGTCGACGATGTTGCTAATTGATTCCCCATCTGCACCAACAAGTTGGTCAGATCAGCAAACACTTAGTAATCCACAAACCTAAACAAACACTACGGTGTGGGTCGGTATGTAAAAACAGCAGATGGGAAGACACCAGAAACCTGTGCTCAGACTGCTGTGCTGGTTTACTGATGAATACTATACCATCACACAACACATAGGGGCCTTCTCAGCGTGGTGATACTGACCTCCTAACAACTCAGTTGTTTCCTGGTAGTCGGTGCTTGTGTAGAGGGTGTGTAGAGGGTTTGTACAAATAATGCAGTCTGACCGATGCCGAGAACAAGGTAAGATGGTGTCAGTGGAATGCTGTCTTAGAAATTCATTTTTTTAAAAGGTTAGTCCCGATGACCATTGGAGACTCATCCTCAGAGATTGTAGCTAGCCCTTCTTGAACGAGAGGAAACCCCTCTACTATGTTTGCATTTTCTGTCAAATTTATTCAGTTGTTCTCTAGCTCGCTCGCTCGCTCACTCACTCACTCACTCACTCACTCACTCACTCACTCACTCACTCACTCACTCACTCACTCACTCACTCACTCACTCACTCACTCACTCTCACTCCGGTAATGTTGCAGGTCAGTTATGGTGCCATTCAGCATCAAGACACAACATTAGCATTCATGATCAAACACATGTGCAAGACCTTCCAGACACACCTCCACAACACTTACAGCAAACATAAACACGACCTTTTTCAAGGATATTTGATGAATAATATTAGCCGATACAACAAATTAACAAGGAAAGCAATTGATTGCATGTGTAAACCTGCAGTGACATAATCGAGTAGCGCTAATGCCGTAATGTTGACAACTGAGACATTAGCAGACCCAGTGTAGGGTGCCACATTTGCTGTGTAGGTTGCACTCAGGTGAGGAGCACTTGTCTTTTGGTCAAATCCAAGATGGACACAGATTACTATCTTCAGGCTCTAAAACCAAACTTGTCTGTTGCAAACATTTTGGATAACTTTTCTTGTTAATAACTTAATATATGGGCTATTATGATTTAACAGACATAGAGAAATTTCAAAAGATTCAGGCTTTGGACTAGTGACAAAGGTAACTGCTGAACAATTGACTTGCCTCTGCATGTGTTTGTGATGGGTACCACCAGTGGGGCAGAATACGATCACCTTTTCACAAACATCTGGTATCTTTGCTATTTGATTGTGATTGATCAACACATGCATGTGATATTGATGTAATCGTAGGGTGCTGACTTTTCTTTTGATTATGGAAATCATTTTTTTGCTTTTATATTTTTTGTGAAATGGCTTTAGGCCCATTTCAGAAAGCAGTTTGAGTGCTATGACCATCCCAGCTTCCATAGTTAATATTGACTTATGACATTCTTTGGGCCTTGGTCACTTTTTGGCCCTGTACCTCAACTTTTAAAACTATAAAAGCAATGTAACCTGTTTTCACCCGCTCCCTGCTTCCATATATTGACCATCAAAACACTTATCAGATCCACGGTGCACTCAGGGCCTTCTTCAGTTCCCACACTCTAGTGAGAGGTCCACCGGTTACTGCAGGAGTGGTTGGTGAAGGGAGCACCTAGTGTGTCAGGTATAGGTAAAATATATAGACAGGTAAATACAGTTGACAGAGCTAGGTTTACACAGCACCAGTAGGTTAAGCCACTTTCTGTTAACTTAGTTAATTTCTGCAAACAATGGTTTGATTGTATCTAAACATGTTTTAGTAAAATGAATTTAAACAATGTTAATTTAAATTCAAATATGTGTTTGCTGGAGACACTGCAGGCATTTATCAGGGAGACTTTTTTTAAAATAATTATTTCCTATGCACAGTTTATAAACAGCAGGGGATCGGGTTCAGTGGCACACTAACGCCAATGTTTCAGTTGTAATCAAATTCTTTTTGGTTTAATGACTTTTTTGCGTGTGTCTGAAATAGAAATTAACCTAAAATGTTTCCCCAAATGATGAGTGCCAACAGTAAGGGCATCCTCTAACACGCCTACATATCTACTGTCTCTCATCATGCTCATTGGGATGTTATTGTATATTGTGACTAGTTAATGTCAATGCTGTATTAATACAAATTTGTGAATATCGGTACTAAATTAATAACTTACTGACACAAAAACAAGAATATTTTTCTTATTATCCTTTGAATGTGTCACCATGTATGCCATCATGCGGTCTCAAGCCCGTGGCTAGTAAAATTCTGTTTGGTCAAGTAATAATAATAATAGTCCATATAATAACACTGAAATCTGAAAATAGTGTTAAGAGCCATGTTCTGACGAGTAGACTTTAACTTTTATGGCACTGGCTGCATTTAGGCTGGTGTGTTAAACTGGAATACTGCTGACTGATTCCGGCTTGGGAAAGGTCCTCAGCAACCAATGCTGGTCATAAGAGGCAACCTCATGTAGTGGGTGGTCAGGCTTGGTGATTTGCTTGATAGCATGCCTCACAGCCTGATGGCTTTGATCGCTGTTCACAATGTCAGTCACTGGATTGTCTGGTCCAGACTCGATTTTATGTACAGACTGGAATATTGTCGTGTGTTGCTTTAAACATCAAACCAATCTGTTGCTGACTGCAGGGTACAGTCACTGGCCTGCTGCTGCTGCTGCTGTCGAGCTGCCCGGGATGATAAATCAGTTTTCGCCCACTGTTTATTGTCCACCAAAGAACTGCGTCCGCTCAGATCACTATACCAGTTAATCAAGAATATAACAATAATCAATGCTCACATCAAACCAACTGACCCATGAATAATATTTTCTTTATGATATCTGATCATGCTTATATTTCGTTATTGAGCATTAATAATTTGATTGTTTGAGATATATTAATGGAAATTGTTGTTTTTCATATGTGAGCTCTTTGATCTTGCTAGTTATAATAGATTGAGTTTTTGTAATATCCAATATTCTGTAGCCATTATGTAACCTGTCAGGAGAAGATAACTCCACTTGCCAAGAACACCATGTTAGGTGAAATTTGTAGATGTTCTATTTCAATATTGTGTATATATTCCATCCCCGCCAAGAACATGAGTATGAGCAGAGATCTAGGTTTTTATTCATTCGGTCCAGTCCCACACTGTAACCACCCAGTTGCAAATGTTGAATCGTTGGTATGCATTGGGTGCAAATGTTGAATCGTTGGTATGCATTGGGGGCAAATGTTGAATCGTTGGTCAGGCATTGGGCACTGGGATCTGCCGT